ACACACACACACACACACACACACACACACACACACACACACACACATCAACAGAGGCACATCCACATTGTGGAAAAGATCCTAGCAGCTTATCTCTACCATCCATCCCTCTTCATGTTTCCACTGCACTTCTTTAACAATGAAACATCACTGAAATAAGAACTGCAGATGAAGGAGAGTGTGCACCCTAGTGACAATGGCACTCACAAGGCTCAATATCCCTTTGTCCTATAGTGAAGCACATACAAAGATGACACCCAGCAATATCTGTCATGTTAAAATCCAGGCCTTAGGGCTGGCTATAACCTGTTAACATGGTAACAGTGATACTGCTGTGGGCTTAGGCTATATGACAGTTACTATCTTCCTGTCCTGATCTTTTTCTATCCTAAACTGCCATCTCAAGAATCTCAGGCTGATGCAAACATATAAAAGAAAAACAAAGACTCTAGTGAAAAATCAACACAAAGACCCCAGGTATATAAGTGAATGTACCTTGGACCTTCTAGCCTAGATACCAGAAGAAAAGAGCCTCCAGAGCAGCTTAAGTTATTACTAATAAGATTATGTGCTATAAGCCACCAGGCGTGGGAGTAGCTCATTGCAAAACAACACCTATAGAAAACAATCCCTCTGTGGAATTAGGCAACAAAGGTTTCCTTCAATATTAAGGATCTTTACAGCATATAACAATTTAACTAGGAAGCTAGTGATAGGTAAAAGAAAGCAACAGGGAGAAGATTCTTAAGAGGCAAAGCTCTGAAATGTAAGAAAGTCCACAAGCAAGGAGACAGGAAGAGTTTGGGGAAGGACTAAGAGATCTGAAAGATACAGATTTTCTCAGAGGCAATTAGAATAGATTTGGGAGCCCACACAGTATGGTGTGGATACAGGATAGGAAAAGATACTAAACTGACCAAGTAAGAGCATGGATCCTCTCAACTTTCAACTCAGCCATCTGGCCTTGCAAATGAAGAGATCGGAATTAAAAAAAAATCTGTTCAAAATTTTATCTCTGTATTTAAAAAGAAAACATTGAGACAAATGGGATGATCATTGGAAATAGGAGAAAAACAAGTAACAGGACAGGAGCCTACCACAGAGGGCCCCTGAAAGACTCTACCTAGCAGTGTATCAAAGCAGATGCTGCGACTCATAACCAAACCTTGGGCAGAGTGCAGAGAATCATATGAAAGAAAGGGGAGTTAGTATGATCTGGAGAGGACAGGAGTTCCACAAGGACCAAATATATTTGGGCACAGGGGTCTTTTCTGAGACTGTTTCTCCAACCAAGGACCACGAATGGATATAACCTAGAACCCTTGCCCAGATATAGCCCAACACAGCTCAGTATCCAAGTGGGTTCCCTAGTTAGGGGAACAGGGACTGTCTCAGACATGAACTCAATGGCTGGCTCTTTGACCTCCTCCACAATGCCCGAGGGAAGAGCAGCCTTGCTAGGGCACAAAAGAGAACATTGTAGCCAGCCCTGAAGAGACCTGGTAAGCTAGGATCAGATGGAAGGGGAGAAAGACCTCCCCCATCAGTGGATTTAGAAAGGGACAGGGAGGAGATGAGGGAGGGAGGGTGGGATTGAAAGGGAAGGAAAGAGGGGCTACAGCCGGGGTACAAAGTAAATAAATTGTAATTAATATAAAAAACAATAAATAAAAAAACCTGAAAAACAAGAAAACGCTGAATATTTTTATGACTTTTATAAGCACGAAGTCTTGAAAACCATACCTCATTCACCCTATGAGTTGAATAAGACCATTACTATAAACTCTTGGCTGCTTGTATTACAGAATTCTAAAAATCTATTTTAAGGGAATTATTGTTATTTCAATAATATTGAACTATTCCTAGGGATAACAGCATGTTGTTCAGACTTCATATGAGGCTTTGTTTTTATTATTTATGTTATCAGTAATTAACACCTCAAATTTTCTCAATGTGTGATAATAGATGTCTCTCTTATAGAATATTCATTTGCAAAACAAAGTTATTAATAATCTTAAGGGAAAGTCCTCTTTGCAGTTTTAATATATTTGATGTAATCAAATACAGTACCATTTTAGATTATGACTTTGGCTCTAAAATTTTCTCTACGTGCATCTATTTCAAGTTTTCACTTACAGACTTAACACCCGCTTGAAGTGTATCTTCACTTGTATGAATCTTCTCATGTATACTAAAGCTCCCATTCTGACATATCTGTTTCTTTACTTTGCAATGATCTCATTATGAAAAAAAAATCCCCTCTCTCTACTTTTTTTTTTTTTTTTTGTAGTGCTTGGAATTGAACCCAGGGTTCAATTCTCTAGTCACGCACTCCACCACTAAGCTACATTCCTAATTGCCATTTCCTTACTTTCTTTAAAAATTTCCCTTAGATCTATTGTGATTCAAATTTTTTGGACCTTATTCTGTTACTTCTTATTTTTATACCCAAGTAAACAATAACTTCTTTTAATGTCTTCTTTTAAAATTCTCATTAAATGTCCCAGTATTATTCTGTATCTACTCTGTAATTACTTCTTTTTTATAGACAATTCATATCAGCCTCTCATTTTTAAATAAACAGACATCTAGAATAGAAAGATTTTTTCATTATATACACACCACATAAGATAGATGTGTTCAATCAATAATTGTTTTAAAATGAAAATCAAAGAATATATTTATTACATATGACACTGTAAAAGACATTAAAAAATTAGAACTATGGAAAACATGAAATTCAGCTACATTTATTACAAGTACATCTACTAATAAAAGATAACCCATTAATCACTTAATCTTGAGATGACTATAATCCTGGTTTGAGCCATTATTGAAAAGTATGATTTTTCTTCCTAAATATGATTTTGACAGTTTACTCTATAACTTAAACATTGAAAGAAAGCAACAGTAAACAATTAGATTGTTCTTGCCTATTTTTTGTAATAAAAACCATAGAAGAAAAAAAACTTCAGTTAATGCTTCCTTTATGGCTTATAATGTTGAAGGAATCAGAACAACTATGCAGTCTACAGCATGTTTCAGGATATTAATCATACAAATCAGTGAAGCTCTCCTCAAATGCTCCAAAATGATCCTAATTTGCAAAGCAGGAATTTGCCATTCTAAAGTAATAATGTATGTTATTCTACTGGGTACTCAACCCACAGAAAATGGCAATGTGGACATAGTATCTTGTTACCTGTCCAGAGTGAAAGTATACATCTTGGTGGCTTGATCATTCATAAGGTAAGTTCTCTCAAGAAACTCCATAGCAGCCGGGACCGAGCTGCTGATGTTCGACTCCCTGTCGAGTTGTGGAAGTAACAGAAGCACGGAGGTTATTGTAGTCCCATAGTTTCCTAAGAAGACAGAATGAGCTTTCCAGTACTTGGGTTAACAGGCTCCTGCATCAGTGTTGTTGGTAGTTCTGTGAAAACCACAGTCTCCTTCGAAGATCACCTGCACTCATTCTATCACCTACAGAAACTGCTTTTCTGGGAGAATTGAAGGTAGAATCATAAGAAGCGTGTGTGTGTGTGTGTGTGTGTGTGTGTGTGTGTGTGTGTGTGTGTGTACATGTGCATATGTGTGATCTCTCCGTGTTTTCTAAGGGCTGGAGTTGCTCTGGAATGGCCTGCTAATGCTGATGTTGGACACTGACCTTCAGCACATACCCGAGTGAGCTGCAAATAATCACCATCTGTCTTTCTCTACACTAACCTCATTTTATTTGCTTTTTTCATTTTGTTTCTACAAACATTTCTCCTGGGATGTAGCTCAGAGATGACATCTAAGCAGATGCTAGATTTTCATTCCCCTCCTCTAGGAAGATTTTGGGATTCCACTCCTAAAGTAGGGAGCAACAATTATCACTCACTGAAATCTATGATCTGAATGTATTCTGGATATGGCATCTTTAATACATCCTTAACAAGCTTTCTGCTAGGTAAATAACAATGTGCAGGGTAAACCACACCTTTCATGGCTGGACTGTCTTCAGCTGAGTGTGGAGTGATGGTGTAGACACATCAATCACAGTTGATCAGGAATGAAGCCTTCTGGGTTGCTCCCAAAAGAACTTCAAGTCACAAAATTGCAAGTGTTAGTTACCTTCCTTTGCACAGATGAGAAAGAGTAAGAGCCTGATCAAATGACAGTCATTTGACTGTAGAGAAAAGATCTATTTAGACTTCCTGGAAAAGATTGAATGGCAGGGCAGAGAAGGATGAGCATCCAAACCACTGAGCCCTCGTTGCCTTTTCCTTTTGTATTCCCTCTGCTGAAAACTCAGAGAGGTTTAGCTCCAGAATAACAACCCCTCAGCCTAGCGTCATGGCAGTATGCCATTTTGTTAAGCAGAGATCACTCTCAGTGATTGATAGGACCAATGTTATCCTTTACAAGGAGAATGGGATGTCAGTGGTACTGGGGGTAGGCCATGAGAAAGAAGCTGCCCTTGTTTGAGGTCCTCTATCACATCAGTGGGGAGCCACACATATAGGAAACCACAAGACCTCAAAAATTCTCATTTGCAATATGAATCCTAAGAGCTCTGAATTGAACACTATTGTCTGACTATTAACTTTGCTCTGAGAGTGAAAAGTCAAAGAAATAACTCTAGGGAGGCAATCTGTCCTTGTTGGAGAAGGCATGGATCCCCGAAGCTAATGTCAGCAGAATAAAAATCAAAGTATTTCTTTCTCATGTATCCTAAGTTACCTGAGCAAAATACCAAGTTATTCTATAGAGACAAATTAGACAAAGCAGAAGACAACTACTAATCCATCCAGGTGACACAGGACTGTACTCTGTTGAAGGGATAATTTGTGAACAGTTTCTAGGACAGAGGAGGGAAATAGAATCTGGAAGGATGAATGTTTGAAAAACAAGGAAGCAATCAAGCTGAAATGCACTAAGGATGAGAGCAGAGCAAATACCGACAACACTTAAGTACAGAGAGGGGAGTTATTGAGCTGTAGAAATCAACAGAAGAGAGCAACCTGCAAGTTTGAGACTGTGCCACAGGCTTTGTTATTAGTGTAGACAGGGGCATACAGGCATATCTGTAAATGTTCTTGAGTCCATGAGTACAGAGGTCACATAGTACTCGACAATGTAGATTGCCTGTGTGTAAGAAGAGAGGCAATGGATTGCCTTGGCATAGCATAAAGTGAAGCAGAGATGAGAAGAGGCAGAACAGGCAATCAAAGCAAAAAAGGAACAAAAAGTATATATTCAGTCTATGTAATTATAAATTTAACTAAATGAAATTACCCTGGTCATAGGCTCGGTACTAAAATTTCATATGTTGGGATCTTATTAAATATGCATAGCTATAAAATATGTATGGACATAGATAATACATTTAAAATTAAAAATTAAATGTCTATATTTATAAAGTATTGAGAAATTAGATACCATTTTCATCAAATATTTATAAATTTCTAAGTGTTATTCTTGAAGATCATTATTGTACAGCAAAGTATCTCATGCAAATAGCATAAGAGCAGAGAATAGTGGATGAAAGCAAATAAAACTCCCATGTTAGAAATGGAAGTAAGCTTTGTGACTATAAATTTAGGTGCAGATAAGTTATGATCAAGAGTTTCCTTTATGTGAGACTGGGGAGATGGTTCAGTGGTCAAGAGTGCTTGCTCTGCAGGCACGAGGACTGGAGTCAAAGCTAGGTGTGGTTGTCTTCCTGATATTCTAGCACAGCAGGGCAGAGATAGGTGGATCATGAAAGCTCTTTGTTCAGCCAGCCAACCTTCAATGGTAAGCTTACGGTTCAGTGACTATGGTGGAGGGAGACAGAAGAAAACACCCATATCTTCCTCCAGCCTCTGTGTGGGTGAGTATGTATAGGCATGCCTGCACATACACAGGCGTATTCACCGTCTACACACAGAAAGAATATTGAAAAATTTAAAACCTATGTTAAATATTTAAACTGTTCACATGTTGATCACCACTTTATAAATTCACCTTAATTGCACTATCATCTTTCTCCCAAATATTTAGTCAGCATAATGCTTATGAAAAGTTACCCTCTCCTGGAGAATGTGAGTCATTTTGACACGAACCACCAATCAAGGGTAATAGTCCTAATCAGACACCACAAGAGACATAGGGTACATACAAATTAGGAAAGCAACACAAATCAGAACAGAAAATCCCCTCTTGTTGACAGCTGGTTTAGGTGGGCATTCTGCTGTTCATCTCCATTTCCTAGGCAACCAGCTTCACAACCATCCTGAACGGCAGGTTGTCCTCTCCACCCACTCTCCATCATAAGCTTACAACAACTGAAGGGGCAAAATGCAATTTATAACCATTACCTCTGAGAATAAATATTGTCAGCCACAGAATATCACTGACACAACAGCCTTGGCTTCTTGGTGCTGGCTGTTTTCAGCACCAATTTCTTAATAGGATTTTACAAACAATAGCTAATCCTTGTACAAATATCATTCTTACAAGGTTTTTTAACATTTTATTTTCTGGAATAGAATGGCATGTGTGTTGTAACATATAGAAAGGTCAGAAGACAACTGTGGGAGTTAACATTTTCCCTCTATTATCTGGTCCCGGGGATTAAATTCACATTGTCAGTCTTGGTGGCCCGCACCTTTACCTGCCAGGCCATCTCACTGGCCCCAACTCAAGCACGTTCCACATTGTTTTATGTTTCATTCACAGAAAATATATATTTTTATGAAACACTACCAGGATCACCTCAGAGTCAACACTACCAAATTCTCACAGAGTGTGATCCCCTAAATAAATTTATCTCAAAGATATTTGTTGATGCGATTGTATATAACTGCCATCTGAAATGGGGTACAAAAGCAAGCCTGTTTTCAAATCATGCATTTGGGTTTTCATCACTTTTGGTTCTTTGCACATTTTGTGGATAAGAAGGGGATGAATTAGTTTAATACATGAGCTCATAAATTAGAGAGGCTCAGATTAGAGCTCTGGTTTCAGCACTTCCTTAGGTGTATGGCCTTGAACAAATTGGGTACCCTCTGTGTGTGTATATGTGTGTGTGTGTGTGTGTGTGTGTGTGTGTGTGTCTTTAAAATGGGAACTATATAGAGTTTCCCAAAGCAAAGAAGAAAGAGTTTCTAATATAGTTTATAATCTACATGTTCTTAGTTTAATCTCTAGCACACTATAACAAGCTCTAACAGTCACACACTGCTGTGTTTTCAGTCACATTCAATAACAATGTCCCAGTCTTAGTAAAAGGCTGACAATTTCCAATGAATGAAAGTATTCATGAAGAAAGTAGATAGAGGCCGTTGGAAAGAGCTAAGGGACTTAAGGGAGCTAAGGGAAAGAGCTAAGGGACTCATCACATGTTTACAATTTTCAAAGGCTCTGGATTCAACAGTCTCAATTTAGACATTCATGTCTGCCTCACACTGTCCCTTTCCCAAAAAAATGCCATTTCACATTACATCGTTCATTACAAGGTTGTCTTCAACAACAGGGGACAAAATTCAGGGTCACCTACTGTAGTCAACTTCTGCAAAGTCCAGGCTCTGTGTTACGATGCAGACAGTAATGGTCTTATTTCCGCGTTGAAATGCATTTCCATAGAAAGTTAGCTTTCTGCTTTATGGTTATTTCCACCATGTAACTTTCTAAAAAGTTCCAACTAGAAACATTAAAACAAGAACACTGACATTTTAATTTGGCTGTATTATAAATATCATCATTAAACTTTTATTTTAATCTAAAGTAAACATATACAAAACATCAATCATTTTCAATATTTCATATATTATTGACAAACAGACTGAAAAGCATCCAATTTTATTTTCTTTTTAATAAATTAGGTCCATGTAACTATTTTCTTTAACCATTTTTATTTTTAAAGATGTTGAGCATTAGAATCATGTCAGCAAAAGATTCAATTTGTATTTATTGAAAAAAGAAGAGATGATAAAATATTGATACTAACACAATAAAAGAAATCCTTTATTAAGTCTCATAGATCCAAATAAATAATAGAATAATATACAATGTGTTGGAAAATGTTGGGTCTAGATGGTTGACATGTTTTATCAATTATTCCGTATTAGACAGTTGCTGTGCCATATATTCTGCAAATTTGAGCTTAACCCTTAAAATTATTTTTAACCCTTAAAAATCACTCTCTCAGTCAGACATGGTTGATTTTCTCTTACAAATTTCAAAGAGATTGTTTTGAACCTAATTCCACAAGTACTTATGTCTTTCTCATTTATGTTGTATATTCAAGCAAGGGGGATCTCAGGACAAAAGCTGTCTTTGGGAGGTGTTAGAATACAGAAGACAGTTAAATATATCCACTGCTGTTCCTATTCTTTTATTATGTGTGCAAAGTAGTCAATAAAAAACTAAAGCCCAAAGTCCCTTGAATTAAAAGTCACAGAAATACAACTATCTAGTCATGTAGTATTAGAATTACATAAGTACTGCCTATTTTATGTTCATGGCGCCCTTGAGAGGCCTATAACTTGTCTTCAGGAGAGTTTTCAAAAAGCCCCCAGACTAGCTGCAGGAGAGCAGAGACTCATCTTGGCCTGTGAATTCCAAAGCCTGGACTTATGTGGCTCTGGCTGCCAGGACCACC